TTTCTTTCTTTCTTTCTTTCTTTCTTTCTTTCTTTCTTTCTTTCTTTCTTTCTTTCTTTCTTTCTTTCTTTCTTTCCTAGAACCAGGGATTGAATTCAGGCCTTTGTGCTTGCCCAGGCAAGCACTTATTCTGCTGAGCTACCTCCCCGGTGCCTTGGAAGTCTTTAATAAGAATTAGAAACAGAAAATGATTGAGACAGTTATTACCTATAGTAAGATTCCAGCTTAACCCAGACAGGCAGGAAAGCCCTAATAATTGAGCCTTATTAACTAACATACATGATAATTATAGTCACAGTAGATTATTAAGGTACCTGGTTGCAACTTTGAATCACATGAGAAATATTTTTAGCAATAGAATGGCTCACTTCAGAGCTTCTGATTTAACTGTTCTGAAACAGAGTATCTACCATTCTGTGTAAGAGTTGCCCAGGTGTCTTAGCCAGTTTCTCATCCCTGGAACAAAATGCCCAATACACACAATTTACTGGAGGAGAAGTTTATCTTGGTTTACATTTTCAGTCAGTGGTTGGCTGGCTGCAAAGTGAAAAATGTCTGGCAGAGAAAAGCTGCTCCTGTCATGTGGCCAGGAAGCCAAACAAAGGGAAGATTTGGGGAAGCAGAGTCAGCCAGATCATGCCTCCAGTTACCTCTATTCAGGCCCTACTGCCTGTCAGCTCCCTCAGTTGCTGAACTCGCCAGTGGGTGACTCCACTGTGAGCACAGAGCCCCGTAATCCAGTCAGCTTCCTATACCTCTCCCTTTGAGTGCAAGAGAGTTCTGGGGATCATTCTAGAGCTAAGCCAGAAGGTCAAGTGATTGCCACGTGCAGCTAGGGCTGTAACAACTGAGGCAGTCACTGGGGCTGAGCTGCCCTACAAGGGAAGGAGCAGGAGCATTTTCTAGAACAGTTCTAGGATCCCAGAATCCTTGAATCTATCTCAATTCCAGAAGTCAGAGTTGTGCACAGACTCTTCAGCTGATGAAAGGATTGTGTCCTGGTCAAACTCTTAGCAGGTCATAAGTCAAAAAACAGCACACAGTACTATATGGGCATCCAACCTTTAGGTTGGCCTGGGTCATAAGCCCAGGAGAGGAATTTTCTAGGGTCACATATAAAATACACAGCATAGTTAATGTATATAAGTGATAAAATTTCCTTTTAAAACATATTTGTAGTACAATAGAAAAAGGGAGGGCAATAGAAACACAAAAGTAGTGGTGGGATAGTTGACCTTGTTTTTAGGAAACTAGTACGTCAGTGGCTGGTGGGATGGGAATGGTTGCCCAGATGTAATAGTTACATGTAATAATTAAATGAGAAAGCTTATATGTCTGAGCTGATACAAATAAGCACCTGTGATTTTAGGCACAACTACAGGTAAGTTGGAATACTACTGTCCATGATCAATGCATGCTCTGGTTTGGGGTTTTGCAAGGGAAGATAATATAATACAGGACACATTTTGTAAGATTATTTTATAATAAATGCCCAAAGAATCATATACAAAGAGTGCAGGAAATCTGTCCACACATTAAAGACCAAAAAATTCAGCTGATAATCCTAACATCTTGCATGAGTGCAGCTGAAAACCTAGAGCTCATAGCAATGCCTTCCACAAGTCCAACCCGAGGCCTACAGCCCAGGACAATATCTCAGGCAGACCCAGTTCATGGAGCAGTGCTGGGAAGGAACAAAGGTCAGTGATGGAAGCTAGACGTTCTGTGCCTGTAGAATAAAGGATCTGTGCTAGCAGCCTGATGTAGGGATCCTTTGGTCTCTCAGTGGTCCCTGGGAGAAAACAGGGATAGGATTTAGAAAATAAAGATAAGAGATAATAGCTGAGGTCAGGTGGTGGCCATGCCTGATTGGCAAAGGACCCCCAACAATAGTAGGGGTGTTTATACCTTTGCAAAGTTGCAAGACACAAGGTTGCCTAGTGACTAATAGCCCATAGTGTCCAAGCAGAATGTTTTTCTCAAGACTGATGTAGCTTGACTGCTTTAAGCAATGAGGTCTCATCCTTCCCTCCCACGTAGGATCAATTTCTAGCTTTAGAAACTCCTAGCAAGCTGAGGGATCCAAACTAGAGCCAGGAAGAAATGCTCAAGGAAAGAACCAGAGCTCCCCTGAAAAGTACTATAGCTATCGTGAGCAATGGTGAGGTCCCAAGCTCCTCTAAGCATGAGGAAACTAAGTTCCCGTCAGGAAAGTCAATGCAACAAGCTTCAGGAGGCTGCGCAGTACACCATCTTCCCCTCCAGAGCCTGGAAACAATGCTCAAGGTGAGGACCAGAGCTCCACAAACTGAACTGCAGCCATCCTCAGCAACTGAGGTACCAAGTGCCTCCTCTGATGAGAACAATCAAGTTCACCAGGAAATCCAGCATGATAAGGTCCTCCAAGGGAACCAACAACTCCTTGTAAGGTTTCTTCCTCTGCATGAAAGAGAACCAGGTGAAAGAAAAGAAATCCTTTAATGCCAGGTGCAGGAGAGAGACCAAAAGAGAAGCTGGAGACCCTGGAGGTGGAGACAGAGGTTGGAGCTTTTATGGGATTGGGCTAGGGGCAGAGGTTACACAGGCAGTACGGTGATGCATCAGGCACAGATTGGGGGAGGGTTGGTGTGCAAGAAAAATCAAAAAAGGAAGTACCCAGTTAACCCAGGGAGAGGGAATGGAAGACAGTCTAGGAGCAGTCTGTCATTGCTGGTTCTGGGATTCCTGCACCATGCCAACTCCCTGCCACTACAACCCAGGAGATCACTGCATGAGCCCAGACCCATCATTCATTATAGCTTCTGACAGCACTCAACAGCTTCCCTAAGAGCCCTCTAACAGCTTCTCCAGCTCTGCCTCTTGTGCTGCTGGCAACCATCCTCAGGTGGGCCTTCCGCCCTACCCCCAGCACCATGCTAGCTCATTTCAGCTTGGTGTAACAAGTTGACCACCAGTTGGCGTCCACCACAATCCACTCCTGGTCAACTTGATGACCATACATATTTTCTTAAACTAGTACTTAGGCAGATTTGTAAAAAGTTAACATGTCTTGGTCTATTTAGATTTATATTAATGTTACAATTATAAAATAGATTCTTTAATAAATGATGCTGGAAAAACTGGCTTTCTACATGCTGAAGGCTAAAATTAGATCCACATCTATCACCATGCATTAAACTACAGTCAAATGGCTCAAAGATTTAAACATTAAAGTAGAAACACTAGATCTCTT